GGCCCAACCGCGCGCCGTCAGGAAAGTCGCAGGCTGTCGCAAGCGAGGCGCGGAGACGGGCCACAGCGGTGGAGAAAGCTACCCAGAGCAAAGGAAGGGGCAAACGAAGCGCAGAGGCGAACGAGGACGAGAAGCGTCAGCGGCAACGAGGCAAAGAGAAAGAGAGAAAGACGGGAGAGCAAGAGGGCGAAGCCGAGCTCAGGCGCAGATCAATAGTAGACGGACGCACATTGCCGAACAGTCTATACTTGTCGTAACTCTCAAAATGCCCGAAGCACACTCGGAAGCGGTGTCGCGAGAGGCGAGGAGACCACGAAGTCGACCAATGGCGGCGGGAGCGGACGGTAGCGCAGAGCGCCCTTGCAGCCATGCAGTCCAGCAGGCCACCACCAGGGCCAGCGCGATCAAAGCGCAGAGGTCCCAACATTCCTCGAACCCCGGGATGGGCAAGAGGGGGGGGGGCCGACCAAAAGAGGCGGCAGACAGTTGCCAGGAGCTCGACCAACATCGATGGGGAACAGTTAAAGCCGAAGGTGGGTGCACACGCCTGCGCCGTCAAGGGTCAGCCCGGGCCCGCCAGGCCACCAGCTTCAGGGCGACGGGGGATTGCATCGCCAGAGACCTGCAGCTCACTGGGGGGGCGCAGCTGACCGCCGCGGGAAGTGGGAAGAAGCTCCGCCTGAGACGCCCAGCAAGGGCGTGCGAAGCAGGGGCGGACCGGGGGGCACGGCCGCGCCTGCAAGGTCGGTTGGGGGGCGGCCAACAGCCGCAGGACCCGGAGAAGTCCTTCCGAGACGGGTTGCGCCCGGGGTGCAGCTGACAGCCGCAGAAAAGAGGGGGGGGGCAGCGCCGGGGCAAGCCGCCGCACGACCGGGGCGCAGTCGACGCCTGAGACGCGCTTGCCCAAGGAAGTGCGCAGCTAACAGCCGCAGGGAAGTGGGAAAGTTTACGCTTCGCCTGAGACATACCGATGCGAAGCTGGGGCGCAGCTGACAGCCGCAGAAGAATAAGAGAGGTTAGACTAGAGAAAGCTGCAGCCCGGCAGGAGCGCAGCAGACTGCCGAAGTGAGATGGGAAAACACCGCCCACGATAAGCCGGCACACTGGCAGGGTGAAGCTAACAGCCGCATGGACGAGGGAAAAGGGGATAGCCGAGTTATCTGGCATGGAGCAGTTAGCTAACAGCTGCAAGAAGGTGGGGAAAGTAAACCTCACCTGAGACATGTTGGGCTGGGGCTGTGCCGACGACCAGCGGGGGGGGGAGCTGGCGGCGGCGGGGTGATGGGAGAACGTCCAGCTCGGGGAAACCTGAGCTGGAGTGCAGCTAACAGCTGCAGAACGCTGGATGATCTCGTCGCTTGAGACAAAGAGGTCCTCGTGTTTCGCGTTTGCTCAGGATGAGACAGCCCGGTGCTCTGGTTGGGTGCAGCTAACAGCCGCAGGGATGTGGGAAATTGATGCCTTCGCCTGAGACATGCTGGCGCCCTGCAGGGGGCGGCAAACGGGGAGGGCAGCCGAATGCCGCCCACGGCCAGGAGCGGGGCGGAGCGGCCAGAGAGACAGTCGAGCCCTGCCCGCAGGGGGGGCATACGGCTGGGAGAGATGGCGGCCGAGGCGGGGCCCACCGAGAGGCCTGCGCGGTTGCAAATAATCGCCTAGTTCACTGGTCGGGAGCGGCTAAAAGCTGCAAAAGGCGAGGAAGGTAAACCTCGCCTGAAACGCGTTGGGTCCGAGGTGGGCCGACGACCAGCGGGGGCGAAGCTGGCGGCCGCAGAGCGAAGAGAGAAGGTCCCACCTTGAGAACCTGGGCTGGAGAGCGGCGACCAGCCGCAGGACGTTGGCTGATATCGTCGCCTGAGACAAAGAGGTCCTCATGTTTCGCGTTTGCTCAGGATGAGACTGCCCAGTGCTCTGGTAGGGCGCAGCTAGCAGCCGCAGGGACGTGGGAAATGGATGCCTTCGCCTGAGACATACTGGCGCCCTGCATGGGGGCGGCAAACGGGGGGGCAGCCGAATGCCGTCGACGGCCAAGAGCGGGGTGAAGTGGACGCAGACTGTCGAGCCCAATCCGAAGGGAGGGCAGACGGCCGGGGAAGACGTCGACCGAGGCGGGGCCCAGAGGGCACCTACCCAGAAGGCGGGAGGAGGGCGCCGCCGAGGAGCCCGTGCGGTTGCAAAATGCGGGGCTTTTGCTCTGACAAAGACCAGCCGCACGCGTACCAGCCTGCTTGAAAAGATTAAAGGCCAACGACGGAGACGCTATTCGACCCAGCTCCTCGCAACGCGGGAGAGGTCGTCGTCGTCGTCCGAGTCGCCGGCAAAGGGGAGGCCATGAAGGTCCTCCCACAAGGCCGAAACAGCCTGGGACACAGGAGGAGAGATGTTCCTAGGGGTCGCGTTGCCAGCGGGTTGTGTCGGACGGCCGGCAAAGTCCTCTCTGTCTTCTCCCTGCCCCTCACCCTGCGACTCGCGACTATCATCACATTCTTCCCGATGGCGGCGACTGACCGTCGCAAAGTCCGTTGCAATCCGAGGCGGTCGGGTGCGCCAAGAGGTCGCGTTGCCAGTGGGTTGTGTTGGACGGTCGGAAAGGTCCTCCCTGACTTTTTCCTGCTCCTCCTCCTGCGATTCGCGACTATCTTCGCGCTCGTCCCGGTGGAGGGGACCCATTTCGCATTCTTCCCGGTGTAGGCGACGAGTTGTCGCACCTCGAGGAGTCATGGGCAGGGAGGGAGGAGAAGAGTCAGTCCCAGGGGAAACGCCCTGCGTAGGCGGGGCGTCAACCCACCCGTCGGTGCGCTGGGTCTGCGTCGTGGTCATGCCGCCGGGCAGCTTTGTTGGACAGCCGCGCAAGCCAGGCGGTTCCAGAAGAGTGTCGACACAGGTTCCCTGTTCAGTTGCAGCCTTTGGCCCAATGCTGTGGCAAGACGCATGCAATGACCAGGTCGTAAACCGATGTCGCGCATGTGTCGATCACTCATAAGCCTTACCTCAGCCACGCACTCAACGCCATGCTCAGCGAAGCTCGACGCATACATCCCAAGACCATGCTGACACAGAAAAGCGACGACCTCGGGCTCGCAATCTGTGGTAGGGTCGTTTGCGGGCGGGGCCGCCGAAGCATCACATCTTGGTCCAGACGGAGAAATCTCTGGTTCTGCTCGCTGATGACCCGCGCGCTGTCTCGCGCGGCGGGCTGCCCAGACTGTGGTGGCGTAGTCGAATTCGCGGCCATGCTGACTATGCCAATCGTGGCCGTGCCAACTTCGCCGAGCATCATGTGGGGGACCATGCTGACTGTGCCAACCTTGACTGTGCCAACCACGTGGGTCCTGACTGACTGTGCCAACCTCGTGGGTCCTGCCTCTCCGACCAGGCCCCGTCAGAAAGCCACGCGCTCATCACGGAAATGTGGAAGGGGAAAATCGAAACAAGAGAAGGGAAAGGAACGGGCAGAGGCCTTCTGACGGCTTGCAATTTGGGCCGGTGCAGCTTGAGCCAGGTTGGGTTTGAGCCAGAGGGGGTACGGACTTGAGCCAGAGGGGGGTCCGAAACTGGTGGAGATATTTTTTCCGGTCGCGTCCACGAGCGAGAGCGCAGGCGGAGTCAGAAGCGTTCCGGGACACGGTAACGGCATAATTAACTACTAAACGCGCCGCAGTCCGGCCGGCCCACTCACCAAGCAGCAGCGGGGCTGCGCGGGAAAGCTGACGGGCTGAGGGCATCCAGGGAAGCTCAGGCACGTGCAGCCTAACAAAATGCCAGGAAATTCGGGGTATGCCGTGAGGCATAGCCCACTCAGAAAGCGCAGATGTCTACGTGTCCATCATGCCTGGTGGGCGCTCAGGCGAGGTGAACGATGGACGAGTCGCCAGTGGGGCGCCAGGCCCAGGGCCGTCCCAACGGCGTATGCGAGCTAGGTGGGCTGAGCTGCCGAGGAACGTCGCAAACCTGGTAATGGTGGAGTTACGCGAAGCGTCTAGATTTGCTCCCAACCGTCCCGTGTTGGGTCCTCGTTTTGAAGAGACAGCGCCTCGCGCCACTCACTGCTTCCTCGTTCCCGATCTTCCCTCCTCCCATCCCTCCCTCTGACCTGCATATGTCAATGTCAGCACGCCTCTCACACGCTTCGTGGCCCCATTGGATGCTTCCGCATGGCGCACCCGCACCCGAGTCGGCACACCCCTCACACGCTTCGCGGCCCCAAAAGGAGCTCCACCGAAGACTCCGCGGCAGGGCCCACATGCCGCACCCGCACCCCATACGGCACACCCCTCACACGTTTCGTGGCCACACAGAGAGCTCCACCGAAAGCCCCAACGGCAGGGGCCGCATGGCGTACCCGCGCCCGACTCGGCACACCCCTCACAAGTTTCGTGTCCCCCCATAAGGAGGTCCACCGAAGGCCCCGGTGGCAGGGTTCGCATGGCGCACCCACCTCCAAATTCGGCGCACCCCTCACGCGCTTCGTGGCCCCACAGGGTGCTCCACCTACGGCTCCAATGGCAGGTCTCGCATTGCATACCCGCACCCAATGAAAAGCACCCAGGGCCGCCGCGCTCAAAGCTTGCATGGTCCTCACGCAGATCACGGTCCTCCTCCTCCCTCCTCCTCCCCGCTCGTCCATGCCCACGTTTCTCCCAATCCACGCCCCAATCCTCTTGCCAGACACCCTCCTCTCTCTCACCTGCCTCGCGATGCTCGCAGCTGCATATGGTTGGGTCATTCGCGTGGATAATCTGATTTTTCAGCGCATCTGTTGGGAGAGGAGGGTGAAAAGCTGAGGGGAACGAATCGGCCAGCACTCATAATCCACTCGCACCGCCACCCAAAACGCGCACCAGAGCCAGATCAAGGAGGCGGAAGAAGAGAAGAGGAGGAGGAGGAAGAGGAGGAGGAGGAGGAGGAACGAAGAGGAGGACGACTGCTTCTCAATGCTGCGTGCCCCGCGTCCTGGAGATGCCCCCGCGCGCGGCGGGGCGCAGGGAGCCCGAGCAGTCCTGAAAGGCATTCGACAGGGCGAGATAGCCGAGCGTGTTGAACAGATACGCCTGAGCCACCAGCTGGCCCACGTCTCCTTCCTACCCTGGCCCCTGCCAGTGTGCTAGCCGATCCCCTGTTCCCCTGCGGATCAGTTCCATAGCAGACGTGCCCCGAAACTTTGAAAATATACGTGCAAAACTAAAGATACACGCACCCGTAGAATACAGATACACTTACACTAGAACCATCGCGCGCGCTTCGAGCGCGCTCAAGTTCTAGCTAGGACCATGATAATCGTCGTCGTTGTCATCCTCATCCCCGTCATCGTCATCGCCATGGTCATGGTCACCTTCACCATCACCATCACAACAATCATCATTACCACCAGTATCGTCAGCATCGTGATCACCATCGCCATCATCGTCATCGTGCTTTTCAGCAACATCTTGTTGGTCGTCGTCGGCGCGGTCGTCGGCATAGTCATCGTCATAATCATAATCAGCGTCATCGCCTTTTATCATCCCCGGTCCACTGCAGTCCCCTTACCCTCCTGCTCTTCCCGTTCTCCCTCTTCCCATCATCTTATACTCATTCTTTTCCTCGTCGGCATCTCCCTGGAAGGGATCCCTGTTCCTTCACCTCCTCCTCCTCCTCCTCCTCCTCCTCCTCCTCCTCCTCGTCTTCCTCCTCCTCCTTCTCCTCCTCCTCATCCCTGTCTTCCCCGCTCTTCGGTATGCCCTCTTCATCCTGCGCTCCCCTTCCCTCCTCGTCCTCGGCATCCCTCCCCGAGCCAGAAAATAAGAAAACAATGTAATCTTACAAGAACAATGTCCCTCCTCCTCTTCCCCCACCTCTTCCCCCTCCTCGTCCTCCGATCCTCCTCCTCCTCTCCTCCTCCTCCTCCTCCTCCTCCTCCTCCTCCTCCTCCTCCTCCTCCTCCTGTCCCACCTCCTCCTCATCCTCCTCCTCCTCCTCCTTCTCCTCCTCCTCCTCCTGAAGAGCGCACAATACTCGGGTGCCTACTGGAACGCGTGCCGGGAGCAGTTTTGGAAGCATTGTGGCAGTCTATGGAGCCTCTCCAGGCCTTCCTTTGGAGTCCTTTGGGGCCTTTGTTGGCCCTTCTGAGGGCCCATTTCGGCTGTTCTGGGTCCCTCTAGGCTCGTCGTGGGGAGCTCAGCCCGTCTTGGGGCCCGCCCGGGGCCCTCTCCGACCATGTAGGAATCTTTTGGTGGCCCCCTCGGGTTTTCTGGGGGCTCTCTTGGGCCGTCTTGAAGCTCTTGCGCGCCGTTTGAGCTCTCTCCAGCCCGTCTTGGAACCCTCTTTGGGGCCTCTGGGGCCGTCTGGGGCCCATTTTGGTGACCTCTTGGGCCGTCGCGACCGCTGGTAGAACTGAAAAGCGAAGCTCCCAGAAATGTAGGTTTCTTCCCCATGGGAAATGCTTGATGTTTGCCTTTGGAGGGCCTTCTCAGCGGCCTCTTGGATAGTCGTGGGGGGTCCTTTTGGGCCGTTTGTGGCCCGTGTGGGAGCCCATTTCGGCTGTCCCAAGCCACTCTTGGCATGTCATGCGTAGCTGAACCGTCTTGAGGCCCTCACGGAGCCCTCTCCGATCATGTAGTGATCCTCCGGTGGCTCCCTCGGGCCCCCTCGGGACTCTCTCGGGCTGATTTGGAGCTCTCTTGTGCCGCTCGACGCTCTCTTGAGGCTGTCTTGGAGCCCTCTTGGGGACCTCGTGGACCGTTTGGCGCCGATTTGGGAAGGCTTTGGGGCCGACGTGGCCGCCGACGGAGCATAAGAAGCGAATGTCCTAGAAATGTACGTTTTCCCATCGGAAATGCTAGTTTTCTGTACCCGGAAGCCTTCTCAGCGGCCCCCTGGACCGTCTTCAGGGAGTCCTGGGATGCCTTTTGTGGACCCTCTGGGGGCCCAGTTCGGCCGTTCTGGGTCCCTCTTCGCCCGTCATGGAGACCTGAGCCCGTCTTGGGGCTCTCTGGGGGCCCTCTCCGACCATGTGGGGATCCTCCGGTGGCCCCCTCGGGGTTCCTGGGTACTCTCTTGGGCCGTGTTGGGGCTCTCTTGTGCTGCTTGAAGCTCTCTTCAGGCCGTCTGGGGGCACTCTTGGGAGCCTCTTGAACTGTCTGGTGCTCATTTTGGGAGCCTCTGGGGCCGTCGCGGCCGCTGGTAGGACTGAAAAGCAAATATCCTAGCATTTTCCCAAAGGAAATGTTTGATTTTTGCCCTTGGAGGGCCTTCTCGGCGGCCTCTTGGATCGTCTTGAATGCCTATGTGGCAGTCTAGGAGCAGTCTTGGGCTGTCTTCGAGCGCGCGTGGCCTCTCCAGAAGCCATCTCAGTGCGCTCTTCAGCCACCTTCCAGACAACCTGGGGCGCTTTGGGCGCCTCTTGGGCCAGCTTTGGAGCCTCTGGGGGTGTCCTGGGCCCCTTCTGAACCCTCTTGGAGCCCCCAAGGTTCCCCCGGAACCCCATGCGAACCTGAGGCAACAGTTATGGGCCCTCCCCTGGCCTACTCCGTGTATATACACACAAATATGTATATATATATATATATATATATATATGTGCACATACATACATACATGCATGCATGCATGCATGCATGCATGCATGCATGCATCCCTACCTACCTACCTACCTACCTACCTACCTATCTACATACATACATACATACATACATACATACATGCATACACCCATACATACATACATACATACATACATACATACATACATACATGCATGCATGCATGCATACGTACATACATACATGCATGCATGCATGCATACATACATACATACAGACGTACACACACGCATATACGTGCCTACATGCATGTATGCATGCATGCATACAAACATGTATACACGTATCTACACATATATGCATGCATGCATAGTTACATGCATACATACATACATACATACATACATACATACATTCATACATGCATATATATACATGCGTACAGATATGTGAATATATACATGCATACATAAACACATGCATGCGTACATGCATACATACACACATACATACATACATACATACATATATACATACATGCATGCATGCATGCATACATACATACATACATAGATACACGTACACATACATACATACATACATACATACATGCCTACATGCATACATACATACGTGTATGTTTACACATATGTGCATACATGCATACATACATACATACATGCATGCATGCATACGTACATACATACATGCATACATACATAAATGCGCATGTATAGAACCACGCGCGCTACGCGAGTTTAGGTTCTAGTCGCAGATGAGGCACGGGTGCTGCTGTAAGCCCCGCTGTGGTCACAACGACGCTTTCCAGCGTTCTCGGGCCCATGCCATCGACGCAAAGAAACGCGTAGTCTGAACGCTCTCGCTCTGCCGGGGCCGCCGTTGAGGGATGGGAGGTGGAAAGCAACTTGTAAAATGATAGGGTATAGCGATGCCCCGCTCGCTCTGGCGGGGCCTGCCTGGCGCTCTGACGGGGCCGTCCCAGGAGAGGAGGGAGGAGCACGAAAGCTGAGGGGTGAGGGGAGGAAGAGGAGAGAGGAGCGAATGGAGGCAAGGGGGAAGGGCGGGAGGGAAGGAGAGACGGAGGGGGGAGGCCCAGGCCATCTGGGCCGTCTTGGAGCCCTCTGTGGCCTCCCGCTCCCGCTCTGTGGCCCAGCTTGGGCCTGTCCTGGGGTTCTCTTGGGCCGTCTGGGGCTCCTCCTGGACTATCATTCGGGCTCCCTGGGGCCGTCTTGGGGCTCTGTTGCGGGCCTCTTCGGCGGTCTCGGGGCGGTCTTGGGGGCGCCTTCGGCCGTCTTGGAGCGATGGAAGCTCGAGAACGCGAGAAAGCGTAAAGCATCGAATAAACCAATGCTAATCAATCACTTAGGCCTCTTTGGGCTCTCTCGGGACGTCTCTCGGAGCTCTCTTGGGCCCACTTGGAAGCCTTTTGGGCTGTGTGTTTGCCGTCTTCAGCTCCTCTTTGGCCACGTTGGAATCATCTCGGCCGTCCTCGAGCGCCCTGGGGCCTCCCGCTCCCGCTCTGAGGCCCATCTTGTGCATCTCCTGGGGCAATTTTGGGCTGCTTTTGGGCAGTCTTCAGGCTCTCCAGGGCCGTCTTGGGGCTCTTTCGGGGGCCTCTTCGGGTTTGGGGGCGCTCTTCGGGGCGTCTTCGGACGTCTTGGAGCGTTGGAAGCTCGAGAACGCGAGAATACGATTGGGGCTCTCTCGGGACGCCTCTCGGAGCTCTCTAGGGGCCTCTTGGAGGGCTCTTGGGCTGTGTATTGGCCATGCTGGGCCCATCTGGGGCCACGTTGGGGCCATCGAGCGCCTTGGGGCCTCCCGCTCCCGCTCTGGGGCCCAGCTTGGGCCTGTCCTGGGGATCTCTTGGGCCGTCTGAGGCTCGTCCTGGGCAATTTTCGGGCTCCCTGGGGCCGTCTTGGGGCTCTGTTGCGGGCCTCTTCTGCGGTCTTGGAGCGTCGGAAGGTCGAAAGTGCGAGATACCGAAAAGCATAGGAAACCCATTAAAATCAAGGATCTGGGCCTCTTCGGGCTCTCTCGGGACGCCTCTCGGAGGGCTATTGATGCCCCTTGGGGGCCTCTTGGGCTGTGCATATGCCGTCTGGAGCACATCTTGGGTATCTGGGCTGTCTTGGAGGGGCTGGTCGAAGTCCCCCAGGGGCTTCTGGGAGCGTCTTGGAGCTCTCTGGGGCAGTCTGGGGGCTTCACGGCCCCTCTGGGGTGCTCTGGGAGCGGTCTCGGAGGCCCCGGTCCCCCATGCCCGCTCCAGGTCGCGGCCCTGGGCGCCCTGGCCTCGTGCGCGGGTAATATCTATATATATATATATATAGAAAGAGAGAGTACATACATACATACATACATACATACATACATACATACCTACCTACCTACCGACCTACCTACCTACCTACCTATGTACGTACGTACGTACGTACATACATACATACATACATACATACATACATACATACATACATACATACACAGACATGCATACATACATACATACATAC